CCCAGCTGATACATTTAAAGTGAAATGTACTAGCTTCTTGGCTTTGACTGCTGGTGCAAGTTTGGGTCCCATTTTCTTTGCCATGACCCAAGGATAGAAAGTTGGAAGGTTTCCAGAACATCACAGATTCTGTGATTGTCTCCAGATTTCCTGCAGTATTCAGGAATAGAGTATTCAGTATTCCTGCAGTATTCACAGAGATAGCTCAAGTACTCAACTAACCTCTGTTAGAACTGAAGGAAATTTGATGGTATAAACTATGCACCGTTTAGTCGTCTGTGTTATAAATTCAGTTATGTGTTTCTCAGGGTTTTTGGCAAGGATTTCAAGCTCTAAACAAACTCTCTCTGTGATTCTTAGTTTCCTGCCCTTTTTAGGAATGATGTTTTTTATTTGGCACCTGACCCTGAAGAGTACATTCTTGCTGGTTCCCCCATTCTTACCCTCTACTTCTATTGATATTTAATTATTCAAATACTGATATTTAACTAGGTTTCTAGAGGAAGTGGGCCTTTCTTGTCCTAGTTAACCCCTAATGGCGAAAACGGCTCAATGCATAACTCCTTCATTCATTCCCATTATGATCCAGGAACTGAGCTAGGTGCTCCAAACAAAACTGTAGACAAGACAAGCCTTTCCTTTAATTGAACTGCCATTCTGCTCAGAGAGACAGCCAAACAAAAATTAAGTCAAAGCAACTTGACTGGTGTTCCCACCACTATTCTAGGATATTTTTTTTTTCCATGTTTTCTCTCTGAGGACTTCCATAGGAGCCTGGATGCAGCTCTACAGTAATTAAGCTCTGTCTGGGCTCTGAGTCAGAAAGTCTCAGGTCTACTGGCTCTACCACTTCAAGCTGGGTGACCAAGTTGCCTGACCTTTCTGTGTCTCAATTTCTTCATTTGTAAAATGGGGATAATAATAATAGATGTCTTGTGAGGATTAAAGGCTTAGTACAGAATCCCCACATAATAATAACTCAGTTAATGTTTGCCACTCTTCTTCTTTTCTGTATATACTACTCCTTGCACATTTTTTCCCAAAGCACCCTTTTCTAGTGCACAGCCACCCCCTTTCCCACTCCTATGAAAATGATAGTGGGAGAAACTTAATGTTGGGAAATTTCTGTTTTTCCACAATTTTTTTCCTGGAAATTGGAGAGACTCTCAGTAGATTCCCTAGGCTCAGCTCACAGAATTACAGTTTGTCCTTGGAACATGTATTATTCACACGTTTGAATACACTTAACTACCTTTTATAGAACTCCTCCTTTGCCCGAAGGTGGTTTTGTAGTTTAGCGTAACTTTAGAGCAGGGGTACTGTAGGACACACCTGTCACCTAGAAGCTAATAACTAAACAACCATTTGATTATTGGAGGCCCGCACATTTTACTGATGGTAAATTTAACATGACATATTCCTCTTTGATGGTTCTGTAGTCCTACAAACCTGGGAAGATGTGTGATGTCAACATAAGACCTGGGTTCAGGAGAGCAAGGAGGGCATCTCTTTTGCTTTCTCTACAGTATCCGGCACAGCACCCAGCACGTTAGTTCCCTGGCCTATAATAGAAGCTCAATCAACACTACTTGGCAGATGTGTGATAATGGGCAAGTTACTTAACTCTTTGAGCCTCAATAGTAAATAAATACTAATCCACTTGGAAGGGTTTGTATAAGGAGAAAAAGAACTAATTAGTAAAGCCCCACTCAGTGCCTAACATATGGCAGTTGGTTCTCTTCCCCTTTCACTTCTTGTATATTTCCTACCCTTCCTACCCGCCCCCCCACCCCCAAATTTGAGACACGGACTTTGTCTGCCCAATGCCTAGCACGGGATCTTTTTTTTTTGGCTGCGTCGGGTCTTCATAGATTTGTGCGGACTTTCTCTAGTTGTGGCGAGTGGAGCTACTCTTAGTTGCAGTGTGCGGGCTTCTCATTGTTGTGGCTTCTCTTGTTGTGCGGGCTTCAGTAGTTGTGGCACGCCAGCTCCGTAGTTGTGGCTCGCAGGCTCTAGAGCACAGGCTCAGTAGTTGTGGCGCACGGGCTTACTTTGCTCCATGGCGTGTGGGATCTTCCCAGACCAGGGCTTGAACCCATGTCCCCTGCGTTGGCTGGCGGATTCTTAACCACTGTTCCACCAGGGAAGTCCTAGCACAGGATCTTATGCATAGTGATAGCCTCAATTTATTCAGTCATTCAGTGAATCTTTACACATCAAAAGTGCACAAAAGCTTAAAGTTGAGAGAGAGCAGGTACATTCAGGAATCCCAAGTAATTGATTATGACTGAAGCAGAGGCTTCGAGGAGAAAATGAGAAAGAGCTAGAATGGTTAGCCCAGATTAGCTCTCAAAGAGCTTTGTAGGTCTTATATGAATTTTGGACTCTATCCTGTAGGGCAGAGGATTGCCACTAAACCAAGGAGTGGCAGAAAGTTTTTTTTTTTTTTTTTTTGGCCTCACCATGCGGCATGTGGGATCTTAGTTCCCTGACGAGGGATCAAACCCGTGCCCCCTGCAGTGGAAGCACACAGTCCTAACCACTAGACCACCAGGGTATTCCCAGAAACTTCTTTTATTTTGTTTTTATTTTAGAATGGTTTGTGGTTCTCGGGCTTTAGTGTGTTTAAGAATCACCAGCGGGGGCTTCCCTGGTGGTGCAGTGGTTGAGAGTCCATCTGCCGATGCAGGGGACACGAGTTCGTGCCCCGGGCCGGGAAGATCCCACATGCCGCGGAGCGGCTGGGCCCGTGAGCCATGGCCGCTGCGCCGGCGCGTCCGGAGCCTGTGCTCCACAACAGGAGAGGCCACAACAGTGAGAGGCCCGCGTACCGCAAAAAAAAAAAAAAAAAAAAAAGAATCACCAGGAAGCTTGTTAAAAAAGAGGGATCCCAAAGCCACACTGTCCGAGAATAGAGAATACGCATTTAAACCAGCACGTTAGGGACCCCCTTCGGGGACCAGTAGTGAAGACTCCCTGCTTCCACTGCAGGGGGCACAGGTTCGATCTCTGGTCAGGGAACTAAGATCCCACGTGCTGTGTGGCGTGGCCAAAAACAAAAACAAACAAAAAACCCGGCACCTTAGATGATTCTGATTCATTTAAATATTCAGACACAATTGCGACATACCTTAAAAACAAAAGATCAATAGTTCTGGGGAAACCTGACTTGAAGTTAGGCTTCCACTGCCTCTCCTGATCAATCTGCCTTTCTTGGCCTGTCCTACAATTAGGCCTTAAGCCTCCTCTTCCCCATGGTGGACCAGCTGGAAGCCCAGCAAATGGAGCAGAGCCCAAAGACTGGACAGTGGCTGCAGAGAAGTAGACAGATTTGACAGGTATTTAAAAGGTGGAATTGAGCAGACTTGGAGATTGACTGTATGGGGAGTGTGTGAAGGGGTCAAGGATGCCCCCTGGCTTTTTGGCTTGGAGCAATTTGTTGTTGTTGTTGTTGTGTTTTTTTGTTTGTTTGTTTTTTGAGCTGTGCAACACAGCATGCGGGATCTCAGTCCTGCAGTGGAAGCGTGGAGTCTTAACCAATGGACCACCAGGGAAGTCCCTGGAGCAATGTTATAATGGTGTGTCATACAGTCAGTGACCGGGCCACTTGAAAGAGAGGGGCAGGTCTGAGAAGTAAATTGAGGAATTTTAGTTGAGATTTGCTCAGTTTGAGGTGCCTCTAGGACATCCAAGTGGAGATGTTCAGAAGTCAGTTGGATTTATAGGCTGGAAATTCAGAGAAAGATCTGGACTGGAAATCTGGACTTGAGAATCATTAGCAAATAGATGGTAATAGAAGTGGGGTGAAGTCATTTCAGGAGAGGGGATAGAATGGGAAGAGAAACCGGTCTAGAACAAAACCCAAGGAACATTTAAGGGAAGGGCTGAGAAAGAAAGAAATTGCAAAGGGATCAAGGACAGGCCAGAGTCATAGCCCCAAGTCACAGGGAGGGAGTTCAAGAGGAGTGACGAACTGGGAAGCATCCTGGACTCAGCAAAGAAGTCTGCGGTGACCTTGTAGAGAGCAGTTTTAGTGGAACCAGGCACCAGATTGCAGTGCGTTGAGGAGTAAGTGGGAGGTGAGGGAGTGGAGACAGCTGGCGTGCACATTTTTTTCAAGATATTTGGCCAAGAATGGAGAGAGATACGGTGGTAACTTCAGAAGGAAGTAGAATTGAGAGTCTTTTTCTACGGTAACGGCTAATGTGCGAGTGGAAGAAAATAAAGGACATAATCAATAAAACCTACCGAGAGCAGTGGGAGACATCCACGGCACAGATGTTACGATTGTGCTTAAGACAAGAGGGACCTACTTCTATTTCTGAACGGATGTGAGGAGGAAGTGATCGATTGGTTTGGAAGCTTGATATCGGGTGCTTCTCTGATGGATTTTGCTTCCTCTAGGAGGTTGGGAGCCAGGCAATGAGTAAGGAGTTTGTAGGATGAACCTTTTCCTTCAGCTAGTCAAAGTACAGGGTTTCCAGCAGGACGGAAGTAGTCACGGCACTAAGGCAAGAGCCTGGTGGGAAGCGGGTTGAGGCTGAAGCTTTAAAATCCGAGGGAAGAGAGGCTGACTGAGAGGAAGTGTGATGTTCCTCTGACCCTGAGGAAAGCTGGATTTGGGCCACCGAATGAGAGGTTATTTTCCCAGAACCTCGTGCTGGGGCTTTGATTTAGGCTCCCCCTTCCTCGTCTAGTCAGTCTGCCTTCCCCGGCTTGTGTGTCACGTCTAGGCCTCAAGCCTCCCAGTCCCCAACGAGGACCAGCTGGAAGCCATTTTGATTAAGCTCCACCACAGAAGGAGGACAATACAGCCCCGCCCAGAGCCAGGCGCGCCCCCGCGACGGCCCGGGTGCGCGTGTCCGCGCCTCTTCCCGCCGGCCTGGCGGGCGCCGGGCCCACGCTGGGGCGGTGCGGGGCGGGGGCTGGCGGTGGTTATGTAAGCGTTGCGCGCTCCCGCGAAGCGGCAACCAATGAGGAGCCCCGGCGGCTCGGGCTCGCGCACGCAGGATGGGGGGAGGGAGCGCACAACGTGCGCGCGCCCTCTCCCTCCTCCACCGCTGCCGCCTCCTTCTTCTGCCGCTCCTGGTGCTGCTTGTGTGCTCGTTCGGTGCGGACCTGGTACCTCTTTTGTGAAGCGGCAGCTGAGGAGACTCCGGCGCTCGCCATGGCCGACGAAAAGCCCAAGGTGAGCTCGGCGCCGTCCTCCGCGCCTCGCCGCGCGGCCGGGGTCACGGCGCGGGCCGGGGTCCGGCCCGAGCCCGCCGCGGGCTCCCCGCGCCTTCCCGGGCCCCCCACGGGGCGGCCGCGGCTCAGGCCCCGGCGCTCCGCGCCATTTTCTTCCCTCCCCTCTTCCTCCCTCCCGCGCGGGAGGAGGCCCCACCGCCCTCCCCCGCCCCCGGCCGCCTCGGAGTGCGCGCCGGGCGCGAGTTGGGCGGGCGAATCGCGGACACCCGCTGGCCCACCGGCCGCGAGCTGGGCTTCTTGGGCCCTGCTGGCCGGGCGAGCGTGACGAGGGGCGTTAGGGCGCGCGGTGTCCCCACCCTCGGCGGACCCCGCGCCGGGCCGCGGCGGGTGTTGCCGCCTTGGCGGTGGCGAGGAGTTCCCTCCTCCCCGGGCTTCCCCCCTCCGGGGTGGGGGCCGCGGGCATCTGGGGACCCCTGCCCCGGGCCGCACTGGCCGGTTGAGGGTTCGGGGCGAATCAATGGGCTGCTGATGGGTTGGAAGCCGGATGCCCGTCGGCCGTCGTGAGGGGCCGGGGTTGGGGGATTCCCGGGGAGTATTTCCCACATTTTTTGTCGGAATGGGCAGTGGCTTTTCCCTGGGTGCCAAATAACCCCTAACCTGCCGAGACCATGTGGTTTCGAGAAGTTGGAGGCAGATGTACGAGCAGAGAGACTTCGTAGGGCTTAACTTTTCAACGCGGGTTTTGAGGCTCCAGGAGGCTTTTCCCTGGAGGACTCGGGTACACACTTCTTCCTGGCACACGGGACTTTCTTTTGGTTTGTTTTGTGACACCCCCCCCCCCCTTTCCATTCTGAAGTGGTTTAGGGGCTACAGAATTCCTTCTACACTTGATTTTGATGAACTTCAGATTGGATAAAAATCTACAAGGAAGACTTGTGGAATGAATCTACAAGGAATAAAACTGTGCATTTGACTCATGACAACAAAGGGGAGGGGAGAATAAGCTCATAACTAAAAATAAACAAAAATGAAGCTGCTCATAGAGGCGAGCAATAATAGTGGTTCTGAGTTATTACCGCTGCTTGGGAGAGAATCAAAGGATATTCCTCAATTAGGTGGTTTTTTTTTTTAATGTAGCTTGAGATTTGTTATTAAGCTGAATTTGGTAACTTTTTAATGAGATTTGTAATGAGTTTTGAATTTCAAGCTCTAGATTTTTCTTGCATTTTGTACTCAAAGCATTTTGGAAAGAGAAAGGATGCTTATTTTTAATCTTTTTAGAGGAAAGACATTTTGAGTGTAATACAATATATGTCATTTAAAAAAACTCAGATTCAAGAGGGCATTGCAGTAAATTGAGGGAGATCCATCTTTAAAAACCAGTTGTCGACACTGATAGTATTGGATGTAGGCTGCTTTTCTGTTTCTGTGACATCTATTTAATATTGTTGCTTCAGGGTTTCTTATCTTTCAGATTGATTTCAGCAGCTGCAAACAGCTGTATGCTCTGTTATAAGAGTGAGAAACCTGTTGATTTCTGAAGCAACTTGGGCTGCTGCTGCTTTAAAAGGTGTTTGTTCTTCACATTTTCCAAATTCTACTTTTATTTTTCTTTCAACAGGAAGGAGTCAAGACTGAGAACAACGATCATATTAATTTGAAGGTGGCGGGGCAGGATGGTTCTGTGGTGCAGTTTAAGATTAAGAGGCATACACCACTTAGTAAACTAATGAAAGCCTATTGTGAACGACAGGTGAGGAACTGACTTGTATACTTCCACTGAATAAAACGTATTTAAAAAAAAACAAACCTTTTTTTCTTGAGAATAGAAACCAGCATAATATATCAATAGATTATCTTTGGTAGAATGAATATGTACTTATATACTTGATATATCACAATTTTATCATACACTTGGTTTGTTGATTCTTCATAAAATCCCTTAGGGTGGTTAATATCACATATGATTCTAGTTCTATGCCAGAAATGCATCAAATTATTTTCACAATAATTTGGTTTGTTCCCAAGAGGATGTAATTTTACTTTTATAAGAAAATAAGAACGAACTTGGTAAAATTTCTTGTCAGGCTCTTTTTTAACAATTAAAAATTTGTCTTGTGTCAAAACAATTTATTTCGGGTGTTTTAACCAATTTGGAAGTAAATGTGGGTTTAAGGACATTGCAGTTTTCCTGAAGCATGTAAAACTGTAATATTTTCTTTTTACACTAATAGTAGAGGTCAAGAGATTTAACCTCCTGAACCAAGCATACACATTCCTGTATTATAAGGATATTTGAATTTTACTCAGAAAATAGTAAATTTTTTAGCTCAGAAGAGGAAGTAGAAATGAACAGATGCTGGGAGGTAAATGTAAACTTTAAGACAAAGAAGCTTCCTTTTGTGATGTTGAGTCTGTAACAATATAAAGGTAATTTTAAAGATGACTTTTGCAAGTATAACAGAAACTCTGGTAGATCAGTTAATCCAACAGTAACCTGGCAGAAGTATTTTTCTTGTTCAACCCTGGATGTATAATATATAAAAATTTGGAAAATTATTTTATTAGACCAAAACAACTTGTCTACATTGCAAATTCACCTCCTAAAAATAGGTTCAAAACAGAGTAAGGTTAAAACCTCTACAAGTTGGGAAATTGAGTTTGAGTTGATACTTGGGCCTTCTCCATGAAACTGAAGGGCTTCTTAAACTGAAGATTTAAACTTCTTTTTGAGTTTGAAGCTTTATTTTATGCCTAGTTTATTTATAACATAATAAGAGTACTGTGGTTATAATTTTTTATCTTCAAAAACTTTTTCATAGTTCCTTACAAAGATATGCCCTTCAGTGTACTTTCATTTGAAGAATTCTGGTGAAATCCCCTAACAGTAAATATGTACTTATTAATTGTGCTAAAGAATTTTTGCACTGGTATCTACCATATTTGAATACTAGTACTCCTTCAGGTTCCAGGGGAATTTTAAAAGGTAATCATTTTGTAGAATGTTTATGTAGCAAAACCTTATACAACATAGAAATTCATGCTTAGATTTGGTGACTTTAAACAAAATTCTCTGCATATCCTAACTTTTCTCTAATTACTATTAAATTTTAGCTTTTAAATGGTCATATTCTTCAACACTGACTATGAAAATTTTCAAACTTAGAGAAAAAAGTTCACACTGAATACCCATCAGTCTACTGCCTAGATTAACTGTTACCAATTTACTATATACATCTATTGATACTCTCTGTCCATCCTAAAATGGTCATATTTAAGACTTCCCATATTTCCTGTAGGGCCCCCAAAAGAGCTTTTTATCTTTTTTTTTTTTTTTTTACCAGATGCCTATGTGCTGGGGCATTATACTGTGTGCCAGAAAAAGTAAAGCACATCCTGTGTATTCTAGATTATCCTTATAGGAAATTGTCTTATAAGATCTAGTTAGTGGGTCAATCAAGAATTTTTTAGTTTTCCTGCTATGTTAAAGTAAGTCTACTATATTATCCAGTGTAAATAAAGTTTTCCTTTATTTTTTTCAATTATTAGGCATAAGATTGGGATTATATTTGACTAAACTTGTTGGGTCCACTCTTAACTTGCACTAGAGGAAAAAGAACATTGGTAGTCCATAAAAAATATAATTCCACTGCATATCTGTTGGAATGCAAATGTGAAAATATTATCCAGGAAGAATTTGGAAAGATGTTTATTCCCATTTTCCTCTTAAATTGGGGATAACCTCAGAGTTTTGAGTGAAACAAGATCCCTGTTTACTTTTCAAGTGGTTTCTCTGGTTCTGAGGAAGAGGGAGTTGAAGTATCATCTAATTGGGCTGATTCCCTGCTTTCTAAGTGTAGTTACAGGTTATTAAAAACTAAAATATTTATCTGATCTGATTTGCATAGCTCAAGTTTTTTTGGCAGGTGAGACTTCTTGACCAAAGATTTCCTATCAAGATTAATTGAATGCTCATATTTACTTTCTAATGAACTCATTTGGTATTGGATCTCTGGAGGAGTTCCAGTGAATGCCTAATAGGCATCTAAAACTGAACATGCAAAGCAGGACTCTTGATTCTACTAGAAATCTTTCTCTGTTGTCCCCACTCAGTAAATAGCACCATTCTGCATCTAGTTGTCAAAACCTTAGGGTCCTCCTTGATGATGCATCATAACAAACAAAATCCATCAGCGAATTCTGTTCCCTATCTAAACTTGGTCCAGCACAGTAGCCACAAGCCACGTGTGAGTGTTTACCACTTGAAGTGTGGCTAGTCCAAATTGAGATGTGCTGTAAAGTGTAAAATGAATGCCAGATTTTGAAAACTTGGTGTGAAAAAAGTTAAATATCTCAGTTTCCAAAATGTTGATTATCTGTTGAAATGGCAGTATTTTAAATATGTTGGATTAAAACTTTTATCAGACCTTTACCTTATTTTTAACTTTTTAATGTGGCAACTAGAAAACTACCACATGTGGCTGACATATTTCCATTGCATAGTGCTGAGCCCGCAACCATTTTTATTCTATTCCTGATTAACTACTACCTCAGGGACTTCTGATTAATTCAGAGTGCCCCTGTTGCCATCACTGGGTCCTCTCACTCTTTCTTGTTTGTTTTGATTTGTTGTTTTGCATTGATTATTGTCTGTATTTATCTCTCTGCACTGAAGTGTAAGCTTCACGAGCAGAGGGCTGTTTTATTATATGACTATTTTTCTAGAGCCTAGACCAGTGCTCAGCATATAGAATGTGTTCAAATGCTTGTAAAAGAATAGAGAACATTCAAACCTAGTACTTCTGTAGGTTGGTTTCTAAGTAAGTTTTTCATTCACATGTAGAGTTAGACTTTGCCCACTTTATATCAGCCACATATCCTTCAGGCAACTGATTGAGAGCATACTATTCCATTCTAGTGTAAATCTACCCCAACATTGTTTACTAGATTGTCAGATGGTTTCAGAGAGCACAGAATAATTGGTTTAGTCCAGTTCGTCTTTGTGAAATGAAGAAATGGGGTCCCGAAGAGAGAACCTCACACATCTCTTCTGGAGCACAACTCTAAAGCTCAGGGATGAGATTTATACAGAAGAGGAAACCAAATACTGGTTTAATGCAAATTCATTGTTTGAATTTACATGGTTTATAGAATCTTAAAGGCAAGTTTCCTGAATTTTGGACTTTTGATCTCTAGCAAAATAGCTTTTATTGATAAGGAAAAGCGTAAAAACAGGTGGCAATAAAGGAATACAATTTGCTTGTGTTCTACTGGCCCTGCCTTCCCTTCGCCCTTATTTTGAATGGCCACGCCATTGGATGTAGTGAAGGAAGAACCCAGCATATAGAAGATGCTAAGAGTTTTGTTGAAGCAGAGTCTCCAGTGGAGTGTTTGTAAGTAGATAATACCTAGTATTAATGGCTTGGTATTGAATTCTTGGTTACTTTGTGTAATTGCAAACTAAATTGGAAAGTCATGAGGAATGAATTAGGTTATGGCTGTCACCTACCTGGTGGGGGATTGCTTGTATTCCGTAAGACAAGGGCTAGTCTGGAAGTGGTATGTGTCAAAGACCAGAGTGTTGTGTTGTGTTTTGTTTAATGTTTATTTATTTACCTATGTATCTATCTATCTGCACCGGGTCTTAGTTGCGGCATGTGGGATTTTTGTTGCAGCGTGTGGGATCTTTTTAGTTATGGCATGCGAGATCTTTAGTTGTGGCATGTGGGATCTAGTTCCCAGACCAGGGATCGAACCTGGGCCCCCAGCATTGGGAGCGTTGGAGTCTTAACCGCTGGATTAGGGAAGTCTCAAAGACTAGAATTTTAAAGGAAAGCAGTATGATTTTCACGTGACAGGTAGTTTTAAAGACCAATTCAGTGGATCCTTGTTAAATAAGGGAATACAGTTGTTAAACAAGTGTTCATTGAACACTTTATTTCAATATTTTTAGTCCTAGGAACTCAGTTTAATTTTCTCTTAAATATCAAAACAGGGAGTTTTTGTAACGAGAATTATAGTTTGTAATTTGAGCATGATACAGGAATGGCTTTGTGTAAGATGCTTCCAAGAAAGGTATTTTTCAAGTTAAAATATTCACAGCATACCTCCAAAGAAATCTTGTCCTCATTTGGTTGCAGTTACCAGCAACTTTACTATTTTGCTCTTTTCCCCTTCTCCCCACCCCTATGTCAGGTAGGTGATTCTTAGTAATGGAGTCCCCTTTGCAGAAAGGGGCATATTTAAGCTCATTTATCTGCTTAAATGCACATAAAAATTTCTTGACACTCCCTTTTTGTAATAAAGCTTCTCCTCAACTTAGCTTTAGGTTTATTTTCAAATAAAAACAGAAAATGAAACATATTTAGATACTGCTTTTCATCCATTTTATTCCATCAGTATTTAGCACCTACCATGTGCAAGATATACAGTATGTAACTAAGTTTAGATTTCTATCCCTACTGGAGCTTATTTTCTAGTACAAGGTTGACTAACAATTGCAGGCTTAGGTAAGTACTAAGCAGAAAAAAGCAGGTGCTTCTTTAGCGCTGTTCCAGGATTTTCTTGGATGTGGATTGTGGTCTTATAGATGGTTTTAGGGACCAGTTATTGCCTTGTGTTTTGCTGTAAATGTACTCACTGCCCAAGGATAAGAACTTGAATATGCCTGTGGTGTTCCTAGTATTGTGCTGGGCTGGGGCTTAGGTTACTCTTACATAGTGGTAGGAATTGTTTGGATAGACAAGAAGGGAAGGTAGCTTTTAGGCAAAGTTTTATTTTAATCATTACACCTTTTTTAGGTGACTTCAGTTTTCATATTATTAATGGGTTTTGTTATGTGTTTGTTTTTGGAGCGCTTTTTAATGTGCGATGAGGAATGTTGACATGTGCATCTGTTGCTTCAAATTTCCTTTTAGTATCTAACTCATTTAAATGCACTGTTTGACTCAAGGTATGATCTGTTCAAGCTTGAAGTAGCTATGGTCTCAAAAGTAGCTATGGCTCTCAAAAACAGCCTTTTTTTTTTTCCAGTCCTTTTTAAGAAAAATCATTTTTCCAATGAAAATCAAACATAGTATAGTTTAAAGAAAGTGAAAATCACTCCAAATCATTTAACCAATATAGAAATGTTAACATATTGATGATCATTTATTTAGGTCTCTCTTTTAAATATATTCATGGCCAAATATGCATGTAGTTTTAGTTCTTACTGTTTCTTTGCGTTCTTATTGCTTTTAAACTCTTTGTCCAGGGTTTGTCAATGAGGCAGATCAGATTCCGATTTGACGGGCAGCCAATCAATGAAACAGACACACCTGCACAGGTAAAAATGTCTTTGTGCTAACTAGAAAAACCAATGTTTTTTATAATTTTCTCAACAGCTTTGTTTATTAATTTGTGAACTTCTAGTCATCGGAATATAGTTCTTTTTTTTCTTTTTTTTTCTGTATGCGGGCCTCTCACTGTTGTGGCCTCTCCCGTTGCGGAGCACAGGCTCCGGACACGCAGGCTCAGCAGCCATGGCTCACGGGCCCAGCCGCTCCGCGGCATGTGGGATCTTCCCGGACCGGGGCACGAACCCGCGTCCCCTGCATTGGCAGGCAGACTCTCAACCACTGCGCCAGCAGGGAAACCCTATAGTTCTTTACCAGAGTTCAAAGCTGTGTAAAATATGGCCAAAACGGAATAGAAAGAAAAAATAGATTCAGGAAGTGCCAATGGTTTTTAAATATTCAGTTATCACTTAGTAAAACTAGTAGGTCGTTTTACTTTAATCCATATTTTTCTTCTTGCCAGCATTATTTGGAAAAAAATAAATAAAATTCCTGTTTGTTACTTCAGAATGTTGTTTTCCTTTTGTTTTCATTGCTGCAGCTCTAAATCATACCCCGGGTTCCCCATAAGCGATTGGTTGGCTGTTTATCCTAACCATTTTAGCCCCTCATGAATTCTCTTGTACCTATACTTCTGAACTGAAGAGAATCTAGTGGCTCTAACTGCAAGTCTCTTGATAGCTTATGTTTCACAGGGCTGTTGATTATTATTTCACAGGGCTGTTGATTATTATTCGGTGGCTTTCCAAACCCTTACTACAAAAGGTGTTGTCTGATCCCTTAATCTCTTTACTTATTACTTCAGTTGTTCTGTCACTTTGTAGGGGATCGGCTGGGCTATCTTCTTTAGCAGAAACTTTTTGTTTCTTTTTACCTTCTGAAATTCCATTTAAGACATTCTGTTTTGGGGGAAAAAACTTTGATAGCAGAAATTTTAAATTGGAGCCCTTGTCCTTTTGAATTTGTTTTATCACCCCATAAAAACTAGAAAGTGATAAATATGGTATGAGTGAAGCAGAAAATCCAGATTGTGGTTTTGTTGATAATCTTCAAAAACTTGAAATATCTATGAGTTATACTTGAGGGAAGAATATTTTGAAGAAATTTCTGTTGATGAGTCTCTAAGAAGCAATTATAGTATGTAGCCACAAGGAGGAGCTGAATTCTCTTGATGAATGAGAGAGAGAGAAAGCTCTCTTACATCCTTTGAAGGCATTTAAAGTTTCACTATAAAATTGAAAAACATTGCAGTAGTTTCATTTCAGTGGATAGGCTGATGGATTTAAAAGAATAAAAAGGACCCATTGTGCTAAACTCTGACGGTAATGTACTTTCTGTTTTTGAAGCCCTCACCCGCCACCAAGAAGAGTCCTGGGCCTTGTCTATTATGCTAGCTGCAAATAATTAAACCTGAGGAGGATTTGTTCAGTACTGCATTCATAAAATCTTCAAATTGAATTTGGAATTGACCTCATTTTAGTATTTGGAATTGAATTTATTTTAGAGTGAAATTGATTCATTTTAGAATTGTTCTTCCAGTACTTATTAAATAGCAGAATTGTATAAATTAGAACATCTGCTTAGCAGCCAATTTTAATAGCAGTATAATTGTTATATACTCATTCTCTTAAGTACTTCACTTTCTTTGACTCATTTAGTTCTCATAACTGAATATTCCATTTTACAAATAGAGAATTGAGACTTAGTCATTAATATTTTAATGCTTTAGTTCTACTTTACTGTATTTGAACTTCATTAGAAACGTTCCCTTTCTTGTCTTTAGATGCCCAAGGTTGTTGTTTTATCTTCAAAATTACCAGTTTTTAGAAAATTTTTCTTGGGTGATTATCAGCATTATAAACTGTTCCAAAGCTTGTTTACCTTACAGTGTTGCCATATGTACCAAGACTTTCCTGCTATCAACATGGTTTTATGTATAATGTGTGGGTAGTAAACCTTGCAAACTTAATAGCATTTTGAATTTTGATTTTTTTTTTAACAAGTCTGTTTTTGCTCATGCTCCTTTTTTTGTTTTTTAACATCATTATTGGAGTATAATTGCTTTACAATGGTGTGTTAGTTTCTGCTTTATAACAAAGGGAATCAGTTATACATATACATATATTCCCATATCTCTTCCCTCTTGCGTCTCCCTCCCTCCCACCCTCCCTATCCCACCTCTATGCTCCTCTTCTTACTACATAGTGGTAACCACTGTTTTTTGCATAGGCAAAGATATAGTCATATTATACACATACACACAAACTTAAAAATATATATACAAATATAATACTATAAGCTGTTCGCTGCCTAGTTTTAAAATTTTTTAGCCTAATACCGTATCTAAGGGATATTTCCATTTCTGCAGGTGTAAATCTACTTATTCTTTAATAATAGGTACATGGTATTTCATGTATGCATGTACTATATTTTTGGGGGTTTTGATATTTTGGTTATTTTCAGTTTTTTGCTCATCTAAACAACATTGCAGTGAGAGCCTTTATACACATCAGTTTTATTTTCAATAATTAAAGGTGAGATGATTTAACTTATGGACATACTCAGCTTTTTAACTTAAAAACTCAATTTTCTGTAATCTTCATAAAAAAGACCAAGTGAAAAATTATTTAAACCTAAGTCTTACGCTACTTTAAGCCGTGGGACATCTAAAATAATGAACACTGGAACTGGGTGGAACTCGTGCAGATTTTCAGGCTATTTAAGTCTGATAGTTATAAATTTTAAGAGCTAAATAACCAATGGCCGATTGTTTTTTTTCTCATTTATGCTAGTTGGAAATGGAGGATGAAGATACAATTGATGTGTTCCAGCAGCAGACAGGAGGTGTCTACTAAAAAGGGAACCTGCTACTTTACTCCAGAATTCTGTTCCTCCAGACCAAGAAGACATTCTCAATTAGAAAACTGCAATTTGGTTCCACCACATCCTGACTACTACAGTATAGTTTCTCTATTCTTTCATTTTCCCCTTCCCCATTCCTTTATTGTACATAAAGTAACTGGTGTATGTGCACAAGCATATTGCATTTTTTTTTTTTTTAACTAAATGGCCAACGGTATGTTTTGATCGACATCAAATGGAGATGGAATGGGGAAAAATACTGGTTCTGTGAAGATACCCCCTTTTCTCCATTAGTGGCATGCTCATCAGCTCTTATCTTTATATTCCAGTAAGTTATTTTGCTCTCACTGTTTAACAAAAAAAGAACAACATAAAAATTCTTGCATACCTTGTTCGATTGGAGAATTTTAATGTTTTTCATTTATCATTGTAAAACCAAGGACAATTTTATAACTTTTTTGTACGTAGCTGTTACATGTAGGGCAATCTGTCTTTAAGTAGGGATAAATTACTCTAAAAGAAATGAATCCTAGATAGTTTTCCCTTCAAGTCAAGCGTCTTGTTGTTTAAATAAACTTCTTGTTTAAAATGAGCTGTTTTCTTTATTCTGAGGAATATTAAATAGAAAGTTGAAGCTTAGAGAAAAACATGACCTGAATAGGCCTACTAGAAGTTACATTTCAAGGAAGAAATAAAGCTACTTTGCATTTCTGACAGACTAATGCAAAACAGGGAATAACAAAGTTATATAAATGACTAGCAAGGAATGTCCTGAGGCAGAGTGGGTGAGTACCTGCAGCTAAGAAAAAGTTCTCATTTTGCTGACTCTGCTGATAAATCACTTGACCATTCTAGTCCTCATTTTGTCTGATGGTAAATACTCCCTAACCTAAGACAGAGTTTTTGTTCCTTATTTGAGGATGTTGAGGGACAGAAAATATTTACCTATGTATACCCATTCTTACAGCCTTAAATATGCAGATCACTACAGTTCTTAAATTCAGTTGTATGGGGAAAGATAACAGCTACAGAACCAATAAACAGAATATTGGAGCTGGAAAGATGTGTAAAGATTATCTAGTTCTAACCCCTGTTTTAAAAATGACAAGGCTGAGGTCTAGAGGGTTATTCGTCACAGTTAGATGGCTATGAAACTGGAACTTAGAGGTTAGGTTTTCTGATGCCTGTTAATTGAATTTTCCAATAATGGTTTTCAAGAGACTGAATTCCCACCCTTACTGCCTAACAATGTGGCCTTTTTGGATCAAGTCCCCATAAACTATCATGCCTTGTCATTCACTTAATTCACTCTACCTCTGTTGCAATATAGTCTTTTTTACATTCCCCATTTCTATAGTGAATAAGCTTCCCCAGAGACAGCAGGAATTACGTAGGTTTTTGGCTCTGTGTATATGTGAGTTAATCTTGAATCAACTGAAGTTTTATTTTCCTATATGTGTAGTGCTGCCAACCTATTTTTACAATTTATATTGTGAAATAGTGTGAGAAGCCTGCCCCCAAGAATTCTTAGATATCGGGTAAGTACATTTCTCTTGCTCTAGGTGCTATTAAGTACTGGAATTTTGTTGTCCCCAAAATTAAAGTTAGGATTGAAATTCAAGCCAGAGAACTTTATTAAGGAAGGATTCTTCAACTGGGTTCTTATTTAACCAGAGGGAACTAATGTCATGTCTGAGCTTTCGCCATGTTGGGGGAACTTTTAAATTCTTTCATACTAGAAAAACTCTCGGTAGAATTTTAAAAGCCACAGGGAAATGTGTGGAAAAGGCACTGTTTCATAATATAGTATGTTGTAGCTTATTGATGTTTGGGTCAGTGTATAATTAAGATTTACCTTATTCTTAAGTGAACTTTTGATTGTTGCCCTTGCCTATTTCACATAAATTACCACCAAAAAGGCAAATATTTTATGGGAAAGCTTACAGAGAACTTTTTAAAAAACCTTTTGAAAATAAGCGGATCGTTGAAAATGCTGAAAGTAATTGTAGCATTTTAATTTTTTTGGCTTGAGAGGGGAGGTTCAAATGATGGGAGTTACACTGCTCTTTTGGGTAACTGTTAGGACAATTTGGCTAAACTCTTTTAAGTTTGTGCTTACATATCTGACATGTTTGTATCTTAAAAGTAGCAAATAGTACCTAAGTGAACCCAATCTGTATAGGGAGATAAATTTTATTCTCAAGCACCTCTCATATTCATCCAAGCTGCTAGAGGCCAAAACAAAAGGTATTAGCAGCTTCCCAGAAATAAGAGTGTCAGGTTATTTGGCTCATTGTTTTCCTTGTTTATGTTCTCATAGAAATTAATTGGATGATCAGATTACATTCTGTCTAAAGGGGATGATGTTGAATGGAACATGGGAAGAAGTAAACATAGTTTGAGGAGAAATTGGAGACTTGAGTCAAAGTGTGTAATTATGTAGGAAATTGATACCAGGAGGTCAGTAAGATAATGGAATCCCAGGATTTGAGGGCAGCCTGTTGGAAAGTTTTTTCCACGGTCTCTGTGGGGGCCATAGGGTATTGGAGAGGGCCAGCTGTGCCACTGAGGGTTATTTTGAGTTAGGGTGCCGCTGCTTTTGAGTATGACTAATAGTGATTCTGGATCATGGTTTTGCATTAGAATCCCCCTAGTGAGCTTTTAAAAAATAGCAGTGCCTGGGCCCTACCCCCAGAAGTGTATTTTCAGAGCAATATTGAATTGAGAAGCAGCTCTGCGAGGCATTCTCACAACTCTTAAGAGTTAAGTACGTTATGGTGAAGATTAAATGAGATAATATATGTTCTAACTACCACATACTGAACTCTTTAATTTTAAATAAAACTTATTTTCAGCGTGAAGTAAGGGCTCTGCCGTAGGATGCTGAGGCTTCAACTGAATACCATAATCCCTACCAATTGGCCTGCATTTTCTATTCATTTTAAAAACTGAATACAATCTTTGTCTCATTAGGTTTTTTTTAAACTTTTTGGTTTGTTTTTTTGTTTTTTTTTGGCCACACTGCACAGCATGTGGGATCTTAGTTCCCTGACCAAGGGTCAAACCCATGCCTCTTGCATTAGAAGTGTAGAGTCTTAACCACTGGATCACCAGGGAAGTCCCTCATTAGGTTTTTATTAATTAATTAATTAAATTTATTTTTGGCTGTGTTGGGTCTTCGTTTCGGCACGTGGGCTTTCTCTAGTTGCGCCGAGCGGGGGCTACTCTTCGTGGTGGTGTGCGGGCTTATTGCGGCGGCTTCTCTTGTTGTGGAGCACGGGCTCTAGGTGCACGGGCTTCGGTAGTTGTAGCACGCGGGCTTCAGTGGTTGTGGCTTGCAGGCTCTAGAGCGCAGGCTCAGTAGTTGTGGTGCACGGGCTTAGTTGCTCCGTGGCATGTGGGATCTTCCCGGACCAGGGCTCGAACCTGTTTCCCCTGCATTGGCAGGCAGACTCTCAACCACTGTGCCACCAGGGAAGGCCCTAGGTTTTTAAATAAATGCTTAATACTAAATTGTGCTCTAACGAATTTTTTTAAGGAAAAACAAAAGGGAAAGGTCTTTTTTCCTTTTTAAGGAAGAACAATCCTCAGGATTTTAATGATTCTCTAATACTTTAAGCAGCAAAGGACCCATCCACAAGATGCTTCAACATTTTAATTATCTAGGTGATGATCTGAGGGTTAGTCCTGGATGTAGTAAGAAATATATGTGTTTTATAATGAGACTTTGGGGCTTCCCTGGTGGCGCAGCGGTTGGGAGTCCGCCTGCCAATGCAGGGGACGCGGGTTCGTGCCCCGATCCGGGAGGATCCCACGTGCCGCGGAGTGGCTGGGCCCCGTGAGCCATGGCCGCTGAGCCTGCGCGTCCGGAGCCTGTGCTCCGCGGCAGGAGAGGCCGCGGTAGTGAGAGGCCCGGGTACCGCAAGGAAAAAAAACCCAAAAAACCATATAATGAGACTTTGGTGTGTGTAGTGGTTAACTAATGAAAAGAGTGCCTCACAGTGGAAAACAGGTTAGGAATTTAATCTGTTATTTGGAATGTGGAGTGTTATTTCCCTGTAAGCAGTGACATGTGACTATGTATGAGATCATTTTAGGATTTCCTACACCCTTAGGGCCTTTGTGAAACAGTTTAAAGTCCAAGACTTTTCATGTAATATTTGTTTTCTTTGCACTTGATACTATAAGACGGATTATGTGGCTAATTTTGCAACAAGTTACAGAATTTGGAATACCAAGAATTTTCCCATTCTTTTCTGGGCATACCCTTTTAAGTTATTTGATGTTTGTAATTTTAAAGATCTTTTTTTTAAAAAAAAATTTATTTAAGGTCTTAGTTGCAGCACACAGGATCTTCATTGCGGCGTGCAGGCTCTTTTTTTTAGTTGTGGCATGCGGACTCCTTAGTTGCGGCATGCATGTGGGATCTAGTTCCCCGACCAGGGATCAAACCCTGGCCCCCTGCATTGGGAGTGCAGAGTGTTTTTTTTAACTTGTTTATTAGAGAAATAGCTTGGAATTGAAGAAAGAAGACAAATTTAAATCACATAATCTCATTCAGCTCTTAGTCTGAGAGGAGGAGGAAATAATGGGGAAATATGAATCATGCTCTCCCTCTCTGCAGTTCAGAGTGACTAGAGGGGCATATCAGACCTTAGTACAGTGTATGTGCCATTTTGTTTATCTTAACTTTGGATAAAGAGAAGGCAAGAATATGACAGAACCATTTTCCATATTTGAGACATCTAGGTTGGTTCATTTGACTTATTTAATGGCCAATGAATTTTTAGAGAAAATAAACTCCTTGGGTGGTTTTTCTCTTGGTGGCATTGATCTGCCTTTTTTTTTTTTTTTTTTTTTTGTGGTGAGGAGGCAGCTAAGAAAAGAATGGACAGATGCATACTAAATTTGGCTCTAGGAGTGATGGATGCAGAATGTATGTGTGAGTGATGTACTTACGGGGCACCCTGCAATACTGGGGTTGAGAAGTGAAACTTGTTAGAAATACTTGTTGGGCCGTTCATTAATTAAGTCACTTACCCAAGTTCAGAAGCACATGACCAGTATTTTCTTTTAATAATAAGGAATAGAAAACATTAAGAGTCTGTATTAAACTGTGGTTGAACATAAGTAACTGCTATACATGTAGGTCAAAAATAGTCAAATATCTGCCATGTCACATGGGTCAACCTAATATGTGTGTATTGGATCACAGCGAAAGACACTGTTCTAAGAGGTTCGTTCAAACCTGACTGCAGACTCTAGGTAGAGTAAGTTCCAATAAGGATGCCATGTAGATTGCCCATTTCCTCTGGCATTTTGGAATAAATAGGGGCAGGTTGAAATTATGGGGGACTCAGAACACTTTGCCTAGCAGTGGAAAGCTGGTAACATTCAAGACAAACACATGCTTGAGAATGAAGAGATGATATGTTAGTGCACTTTTTTGTGTTTGGTTAAAATTTATTTATTGTCCTTAGGCACAAATCGTGAAGAACAACTAGCAGATTGTTCTATTTTAAGTTATACATTGCATTCTTGAATAAAACTGTCCACACGCTCAGCAACAAATGTAAAAACCAACAGGATTCC